CCTTTATCTTATATTTAAAAGGTCCCTAACATCTTGTGCAAGTCATTTTCTACTCAAGTATATGCAGCAGGTCAATATTGGTTTAATTCTATGTGGAAAGCTATGGAAAATATAACCCCATTGTTATAACTTATAAAGACATCCAATTGTAAGACAAAGTTGATCACGTATTCAATTAAATTCCAGACAGAGTTACAAGAGCCAAAGACAGCATCCATTTCAGAGGCTATTCAGTGTTTYAAGGCTCATAGAGTCAGAGGTGAGGCTCATTTTGTGGGGTATGCCTCATCCAAACCTTGGTGCAACTCGGTTTGTTGCCATTATTTGATGAATTAACCATTGATTTGAAGTCAACCTAGTAATTTACCACGTTTTATGTTGTATGTATGATGTTTGGAGTTTAAATAGTTTATTCTATGTGGGAATTAGAAAAGTAAGGTTGCAACCTTAATGTTAAGAATCTCATGCCCTAAATGACCTAATAAGATTTTTGGGATATTTTATTTCTTCAGAGATTTGGATGTGCACATTCTTTTTATAGTAAATAAAAGAAATTAGATTTGCATATTCTTGTATAGGTTTTCTTCTAATTTTCTTTATCAAAAGTAGCTTCTTACTTCATTCAGGCATCTTCCTCACCTTGCACCTTGTACCTGAAGCTCAAGGAACCCCATGTGCTTTAGCTGCACTTTTTGCTTAGAAGGGGTCTACAATTCTCCAGGATGATTAAATCAGCAATATTACCTTTATCTTCTAGACCTATTGACCCTCAGGCCAAATAATTGAATCTAGTTGTCAGGCCAAGAAGTAAATGCAAAAGCTAATAAGATTTAGATTAAAATAAGTGACCTCAATTATTTTTTCTGACAAACAGTAAATTAGAAATATTTTTGCAGTAAGAAAAGTCTCCTTACTATCCAAGGTTGTGAATATACAAGGTACAAGGGAGAAACAATAAAAGACCATACCAGTTTCTTCACTATAATAACTCTTTATAAATCATCCCAGACCCAAACATTTTTTTTTTGATAGATATCCCAGACCCAAACATTTGCCACACAGGAGTATCCCTTGTAAGTTTGTAACCCTGTAGTAACTATAAAATATGTCAAGCTCTTGCCTACTCTTGGAACCCACATGAATAAGCAGTTCAAAACTTTTCGCTAGACCTCTTGCTTCTCTAACTAGAAATGGAATCTAGTTGTCAAGCAAAGAAGCAAATGTAGGAATTGATATGAGATCTAAATGACATCCTTGTTCCCAAATAAACAAAAACAATATCTTGATGCAAGATGATAACACAGAAATGGAATAATAAGGGTAAGAAAGGTTCCCTTTTTTGATAATAAAAGGCAAGAAGCTTCCAGTGACATTTGAAAGACATTAGTACCCATGATTTCAAGATAAGGCTCATTAGCTAGTTGAATAGAAATTCAARTGAAAGTGATTTCCAAGTGGGGATATAGTGGATCAAATGTGCATGCAGGAAGTACATTGTGCCCTGAGCTCTTGGTAAGACATGCCAGAGCATTGGCATCCAACCTGAAGTGCTCATTCGGTTGGGTGCCAAGAAGTGCAAACAGCATGGATGACTCATTAGAAAGTTCRGGTATATCRTTAAAAATAATTATTTTGGGGTGAACCAGGAAGGGGACATTGTGAATATTTCAGTTTACTGTTTTAAAAGGCTTCAGCCTTGGCTGTGATCTGTAACCCTGTGAGATCGACTTGTATGGTTGTTTCCACCTATCATTAATAAAATTATTCAAGTACTGTTGCTTATCACAAAAGTTAAATAATAAAGACACCATAATATTTATATGTCAGATAACTAGGTAGAAAAACAACAGAAAAGGGTAAAATAATGAAAACCTGTTGGTTAATGGGTGCTCCTCCATAAGCAACCACCACCCTAACACCAGTTTGATAAGAAAATTTTCTSGCTTCCTCATGTATCTACAAGGCAAAAGATAAGCACAAGATCAGAAACGAGGTGAGATGAAATTCAACCAGAACACAAGGCATTCTCAGAGCCAAATTAGAAAAATACCTGGCATGAAAGCTCTCTCGTAGGAGACAAAATAAGAGCAAGTGGATACACTGTTCTTGCACCACGGGGTCTCTGTGCGAACTTCCCATTCATTATCCCACTGATAATCGGGAAGCAGAAAGCGGCTGTCTTGCCAGACCCAGTCTGAGCGCATGCCATCAAATCCCGACCTGCAATACAAATCGGTATAGCATGACGCTGCACAGGTGTTGGCTTGACATATTTGCACCGTCTTATATTTAGATTTAGTGCTTCCCCCAAGTCAATCTCTGCAAAAGTATTCACAGGCGGTGGCACATTTTCCCCACTCGTCTCAACCGGGATATCTTCATACGCATCAAAGTTAATGCCGGAATTCTCCAGCTCATTAAAAGCAGGCTCGGCATCGGCATCATCTCCAAACGGGTTCACCTCACGTTCTCTGTTGCCCCAGCCTCCGCCTCTGCTGCCCCAACCACCACCACCGCCGCCGCCGCCGCCGCCGCCGCCAAGGCGACCACCGGTACCGTATCCAGGCCGCCCCAAATCAGACCTAGGACCACCCCAACGATTTCCACTAGGCTGAGTACCATAACCCGGTCGATCGTTGCTCACAGAAGGACCGCTGTATGCCGGAGCCGCCGGAGGTTCCGAAGAAGGCGGCCGGTTACGGAGATGTGGAGGCACATAAGAAGATCTGGCAGGCCGTGAAGTGCTACCAACTCCATTACTAACAGAAGAACCAGCAGCTGGCTTCTCAGCTGCAGATTCGGCAACATCAGCCCACGAAGTTCGCATATCTGAAAAAATAAATACTCTGTTCCTTTCTACGGTCACTAACAAACCTTACTCAACAATCTGATCCACGGCAGCAACTTGAAAAACCCTAAGAACCCAAGCAATCCTTTTCCCACCAAAATTCTACTTCAAAGCCAAAGCACCCAGCCTTCTCCACCATCAACTTCTGCCCACATAACCCTTACGCCACCGAGCCCAATAAGTTAGTAGATTTTCTCCTCTGTGTTCAGAACTATTTTTCTTAAACCGCCAAATAAAAACCCTAAAAATCAAA